AGCAGAGAAAGACACATCCCACAAGGAGAGCCATGCTGGAGGGAGGCAGGAGGCCTAGGGCTGGAGTTTGACTGTCTGGCAGGTGAGGAAAGGGAGAGGGCGGGGCCTGTGGAAATTTCCCCGGACAGTGTGCCGGGAAGCAGGGGTTTAGGGGTTTGGCAGATGCACTGGTTTCCTGGGCTGCACAAGGTTCCTTTGACTAGGTGGCTGGGAACACACTGGTTTTGTTGGGATCCTCTGCTTCCAGAAGAAACTCCAGAGGCCAGTGGCATTCAACCCTGCCTATCTGGTTAGCAGAATGCTGCAGACCGCAGCCGTCCCCACCTTAACTCCTAAAACCTGGGCTTGCCTAACTGACAGGCAAAGGGGCTTCACATGTGTGGAGAGGGGGTGAGGGAGGAGCGTACCCGGTGTCCAGATGGGTCTCATGAAACATCCAAGTGCTTCATGAGGGACAGTATTTCCCAGCTGTGGTCAGAGGGCTTGGGACTAAGGAAGTCAGAGGGAGGCAGGCGATTTAGCTGGCTCGACGGTGGAGGCAAAAGCCAAGGGCCCAGGAACCTGGGTGCTTGTGTAATATGGGACAGGGTATTAGAAGATGGAAGAAATGGGCCCTGCCTACACCAGGAAGTCAGCGTGGGGTGATGTGCTGGACTCTGAGCTACTGTGGCCTCATGCTTTCTCTACAGCCATGATAGCAAACTCATCCGCAACTCCCCGGTACAGGACCCGTGGTGCCCCCCTCATCCTTAAGAACATCGAGTCTCTGGGAGATGGGCTGATGCAGTCAGAAGGCCTGAGGCAGAGGGAACCCTGAGCCACTGAGCCAACAGGCCCCACGGCTCCAAGGTAAGAGGGTATGCAGTCTCGCTCGAGCAAGGGATGGGTGAATGAGAATATCCAGCCAAGGCTCCTCTGTCCTGAACTCTTGTTGCTTGTTCCAAACACTTTCGAGTCTTGGAACAAGGGTGACTGTGGGTTGATGTCAGCTTTTTGTCCCTGTGACATAATGGCTGAGGAAAACAGTCCAAAGGAAGAAAGGCTTATTGGACCAGGAGTGATGGTCGCCTTTAATTCTAGTCTTAGGAGGCAGTAAGTAGATCTGAGTTTGAGACCAGTTTGGTCTATACAGTGAGTTCCAGGACATCTAAGGATACCTGGTGAGACCCTGCCTCAAATAAATAAATAAATACAATTTATTTGGCTCCTGTTTCAGAGGGTTGGCCCCCAGCGGCAGCACGGTTGGAGTTTGTGAGGGAGCTAAGCATCACCCCTCAAGGCAGCTCAGGACACAGGGGAAAGGCTGGGGACAAGGTATGCCTTTTGGGTCACACTTCCCAGTGACTCACTTCTTCCAATTAAGATCGGTTAAAGTGAATGTGATCAGGTTATGAGCCCCCAAGGGGTGAGCATACTGAGAAGGGGCTTCCCCAGAGCTAGGTCTGAAGGCTGCACCAAGGACCAAGCCTGTGGCACAGGAACCCATAGCAGGCATTCTGTGGGTAGGGAAGGTGTAACTGAGTGTCTTCTCCAGGCAACGGCAATGTTTTGAAACTGGGCAGAGGTCATGTGCTATCGTTTTTTTTTTTTTTTTCTTATTTTATTTTGGCATTTTGGGACAGGGTTTCTCTGTGTAGCCCTGGCTGTCCTGGAACTTACTCCTTAGACCAGGCTGACCTCGAACTCAGAGATCCACCTGCCTCTGCCTCCTGAGTGCTGGGATTAAAGGTGTGTGCCACCACTGCCTGGCCATTTTATTACGAGTTTTACATGCTTGGGGGTTTTGCTGGCATGCATGTCTGTGTCCTGTGCATGCCTGGTGCCTGCAAAGACCAGAAGAGGGCAATAGATCCCCTAAACCTGAAGCAAGCCTCCGTGTGGGTGCTGGAAATTGAACCTGGGTTGTCTGGAAGAGCAGCTAGTGCTCTTAACTGTTGAGCCATCTCTCCAGCCCCCACCCCCTAGGTGTCACTTGAAAATGACTGCTCTTGCACCCTGTGGACTCTGGGAGATCCTGTCCAGGGATCCTGCGCCAGGACAGGAAGGCTATGGGGTCTAGGTGTTGTGTAAAGGCCCTTCATTTGCAGATCTCAGTGACGGAGGGGTGGTATTTTATCAACATTTTGGTTGCAGATTAGGGTCTCAGCCACTAGTGTGCAGCTTCAGAGACGACAGGGTCACGTGGGGGCTGCCCCTTGACTGTGTGGGGACAGGAGGAAGGTGGAAATGGAAAAGTACCTCAGCCCCGGAGAAGCAGCAGAATAGGGCTGTGGTTTCAGAGCATCAGGGCCTCTGCCAGGGTGAGATGCTCTCTGGGAGACCATAAATGTTAGCCCTGCTGGCGTGTGTTGTAAATGGACTTGGTTTTTGTTTAGTTGGTTAAATTTTTATTTATTTTTTAAAAACCCACAAACCCCTGGCAGGGCTGTCTTAAGTGAGGACACCATGTTACCCAGGAAAGCTGGGTTCACAAAGAACGAGCTGGGCTGATGAGGCAGGGGCCTACGCTCTCCACCTTAGCCATGGGCTGGAGAGCAACCCTTAGTCATCATCACTGGCTGTTTCTTGAGGTCTACTGTGTGCCAGGGGTCCCCCTTAGCTGTGTACTTCCTCGTTTCTGATCCCAACAGCTGTCAAGGGAGGAGTTTACCTGTGTCCTTCATCTTACAAAGGAATACATTTTGGCACAGAGAAACCAAGGGGCTTGCCCTGAGTCACACAGCCAGGGAGCAGCAGATAGGCAGCCAGGTTGGCTCATTTCTGATGGCAGAGAGCTCAGAAGGCCTGCAGCCTTGCACCCAGGAGCTCCCCAGGACCATTGTTTCTGACCAAATGCTGTTCCCGAAGCACAGATCTCAGCTCAGGAGGTCAGGGCGGCCTTTCTCACGCCTGGCTGCCTGTGCTGCCATGCCGCCGACCCAGGGAGAGGAAAGTTGGGGAAGGCTAAAAAGAAGCAATGAGCTCATTCACACTGAGATGTGGGTAACTGATAGCTGGGAGCAGGAGACTCTCCGGGGAGGTGTGCTGCTCAGGGAGGAAGGAGAGAGAGAAACCCTCGCAGTCCTCACCCTCAGCAGAAACTCCCTGCCTGCAGGGGAGAAGGGGAGAGGGGAAAGTGAGGGTAGCACGACCTGGCCATAGGAAACACAGACTGGGAACAGGGTTTGTTTTGTCCCTGGGGCTCAGGGCAGTTCCAGGTGTGGCCTTGCTGTGGTGAGGGCCAAGGTCCCACCAGGAACTCTGCAGCTCAGGAAGCCTAGCTGGGCTGCCCGTTGGGCCAGCTAGAACCAGCCTCCAAGGCCATCCAGTGAGCGCTTGTCTCTGTGCCTCAGAGGTCTGGGTCTCCCCCAGGTAGGGCCCTGAGGGCAGCAAACTGCTGCTCCCTGCTGCCTCCACCTGCCCTTGGGCCTGGTGACCAATAAGGTGAATCCCCCAGCACCTTTGGGCTGGGAAAATTTCCCAGCTCTTTTCCAGGGGTCTGTGGTCCCAACTGGCCCAGATTCCATACTAATGGGTAGACTGCCACTCACCTGTTCCTGTCCCAGAACCCTCGCAAAGCCTAGCAGGGGGGAGGAGGGGTCCTCCCTCATCTGGCCCTCAAAGCCCTTCCTGCCTCACACGTAAGGCCCAGCTGATATGCCCACTCCCACCATCAGCTTCACTAGGATGTATAACCTCTTCGTTTAGTGTCTTGACAGGCCTGGGTTTGTTTGGTTATTATTATTTTTATTTCATGTGCATTGGCGGTTTGCCTTGAGAGGCCTAAGCAGCATTTGCTGTCTCCTGGCGCCCCCAGGTGGCCATTATCTAGCACTGTAAAACTCACTTCCTTTTCAGTCTGCTCCTAGAGGGAGGGATGCGCCCACCCTTCTCATAGTGTGAGCTTCAAGGGTCCAGTTCTTGGTCCTTGTGTGGCTGTGGCTGGATGATCAGCAGAGTGGCAGGCATCCTGTTGGCCATTGTGTCCACTGAGATTTTTCTAAAGTTACTCACGTTAAACAGCATTTACCGCTGCTTGCTGCCTAGGTGCCCTGAGCCTGTTTCCCCTGTACATAGTTGGTACAGTAGATAGTCAAGGAAACCATGCATTGCAGCAAACTTAGCAATGGACACAGGTTTCATGAGTGTGTGTGTGCGTGTGTGTGTAGGCCAAGGGTCAACCTCAGCATTGTTCCCCAGGTGCTATCAATATCTGGGGTTTTCCTTTCAATTATTATACATTCATTTATGTGGAGGGTAATCCCACACCAGGCCTACGAAAGGTTTTTTTTGCTTTTGTTTTTGTTTTGCTTTTTAAAAGATTCATTTATACAGTGTTCAGTGTTCTGCCTGTGTGTATCTCTGCAGGCCAGAAGAGGGCACCAAATCTCATTACAGGTGTTTGTGGGCCACTTCGTGGTTGCTGGGAATTGAACTCAAGACCTCTGGAAAAGCAGTCTTAACTGCTGAGCCATCTCTCCACCCCCAGACCTTTTGTTTTGTTTCGTTTGTTTGTTTGTACAGAGTTTTTCTTTGTAGCCCTGGCTGTCCTAGAATTAGCTCTGTAGACCTGGCTGACCTTGAATTCAGAGATCTGTCTGTCTCTGCCTCCCAAGTGCTGGGGTTAAAGGCATGCACCACCACTGCCCAGCTTGGAAAGGTTTTAATAGTGTGTGTTCACATGTTTGGGTCAATTAGACTCTGTCAGCAGACTGGCCTCAAAGGCACAGCAGTCAAGTCTCCTGCCCTAGCCTCCCAAGGGCTGAGGTTACAGGGACCAGCTTCTATGCTCAAATTTAGTTTTTATTTTAAAATACATTTAAAAAAAAATCCCAAGTCTATTTAGGAGAAAATCAAGGGGTCTCAAAGTAAAACCCTAGTCAGGCAACAGCAGCACAGGCGACTCTGCTCTGGGAGCTGTGCCCAGATGCCCGCATCCCGTCCCAGGCACACAGCAGTAGGTTCTGGAGAAGAGCAAGGCCGGCCACCCAGGAAGAAGAGGGCTGCAGGAGGGTGAGAACTGTGGACGGGTTACTTTATTTCATATAAAATCACACTGAGGAATTGAAAAGTCAAGTATACTCAGCTTGGGTTCACCGCCACAGACTCCACACTGGAGGGTGACACCACCACAGCCTGCATGACCAGACACATGTGCAAATGAATGCAGAGACAATCCGAGGCCACGCTGTCCCTCTGCAGTGACTCGGGCCCCACAGTTTGCTCACTGCATTAGGGCTAGGCTCGCAGGCCCCTGGGGTTCACCTCAGTAGCATAGGAGCCCAGAAGAGGGCAGGGCAAAAGCGACTGACACCAAAACCAGTCATGGTGTCACAGGGACAGAAAGGCAGCTGGTCCCAACAGGGAAACACTGGTGTCTCTGCATGGGAGCGGACTCACAGGCAGTCCCCAGCCTCTGTCAGACCGCTCTCACTCAGCAGCAAAGGAACAACCTAGAAATTTAAGGCAAGTCCCCTGAGGGGAGCTGTGTGTGTACTGACGTAATTCTCAGCCCGCACCAAGGGTCCATCTGACTGCAGTGCCATGGGTAGAGAGTCTTTCTCTACACACTGCTCTGACGCTCGGGCACCAGGCTGTCTCCCCCTGCAGCACCTGCCCAAAGGGGACCAAGGCGGCTTGCTTCTCTCATGCTGAGATCCCCATGGCCCCTCCCCCACAGTGCTGGGCCTCAGCACAGGGCACCCGCCACCTTTCTTGTTGAGGGACTGTTGCATGCTGTTAGTTTGGCTGGAACAACAAAACCTCAGCTCCACACCCTCAAACACTAAACTTTCAATGAAATAAAAGCAGGAGGCCGGGCCCAAGCGCAGGCATGCCTGTTCTTTGGATCTGGACACTGTATGATACATTCATAGAAGGCCAGCAAGGGCCAGCAGTGCGTCCCACTTCCCTGAAACACTGGAGTCTGAAAGACAGCTTGTCTACCACACACGTGCCTGAACAACACTGCTGATTCTGACACATGCGCACACGCACGCACACACACAGACACACACAGATGAGCACATACAGACTTGCTGGAAGGGTCAAAGGATGCCTATTCCTGGACAGCAGGGAGTGTTCTGGAAGCCATCTTCACTGTTCAGTGCTAGGTGTCGGAGCCCTCCAAGTCGCAAAGTCTCTGTGGAAACCTTCTGGAAAGGAGTGTGCTGGGTATGGGCCAGCAGGACTCCCAGCAGCTGCTGCGCTGGCTTTCTTCATGATGGAGAAGCAGCTCTGCCTATGGGATGGATGCTCATGGCCCACATGACATCCCAAGTGTCAGGATGGTGACAGAATGGCCTCCTGGGGCTGCATGCTTCTCCTGGCAGTACACACAAAAACTGACAAGTGCCTGTGGCCCTAAGTCCATGAAGCTGCTCATGGCCCCGTCAGCTGGCCAGCTCCATCTGCCCACAAGGCTGCTGTGCTTGCAGGCTGGTAAGCATCAACTGTCTGCAGACATTCCTGCCCTGAAGGCTCATACAGAGAACTCAGGGCCCCCTTTCCTAGCCCTCATTTGCAGTCGCCTGAATCGGAAGCCAACAAAGGGGTTCATCCAGAGGAGGGAGGGGGGACCCCCGAAGACAGACTTCATCCCTTCCCACCGCAGCCTTCGCTCCCACGTAGGCTTCTCGCTCTTCAGCCTCTCGATCTCCTGGAAGCAGAAGGAGAAGCCACAGCAGCAGTGAGGAGAGACGCAGAGACAGCCTGCTGCTGCACGCAGCTATACAGGGCTACACACGGTCTGTCGCCAGACCTCCCAAGCCCGTGTGGAGCTGGGCACTGTCCAGTGCTCCTCCCAGTCTCACACACAGCCAGACTGCAGCCACCTGCATGGACCAGTCTCAAAGTCAGCCTGGTGGCGGCTCTTCGCAGGAGCAGTGGCCCTCTGCATGAGTCCGATACTTTGCTAGAATTCCTACTCAATCCCATATTTAGGCAGCACCTACTCCAGGCCTGCAAGGGCAGGAGGGCAGTTGAGTTCCTGAGACCCAGAGCCTCCTTGGCTTTACTGACTAAATCAAGCCAGGGCCCAGAAACAACACTGCGCTAATTGAGGGAGCACCAAACACAGGCCATGGGGTCCTGTGGGGTCCAAGGCTGCCTGAGACCCCAAATCAGACCCCACCCCCCGCAGACACAGAACAAGACTCACAGTTTCGTCATTGCATATCGAGTGGATCTGGGTGCCAAACATGACTGCGGTGAACGTGAAGAACAGGAGGCCCTCAAGGCACAGGAAGACCAACAGGATTACAGTTATGGGAGGTGAGAAGTCGCTGCACTCTGGGGAAGAGAGTGAAGTGGTCAGCACGCCACAAGCACCCTGCACCACAGTGGGCCCTACACTCATGCACCCCTGGCACCTGCAGCAGGTTTCCTGGAAGGAACGTGCTACCGCTGTACAAGACCCACTTGAGCTCCCCAAGAAGCTGGCACACAGCCTGCCCACCCCATCCAGCCAGCATCTCAGTCCACCCTCCCTGAAGCTCTTTCTGCACTGGGGATTGTACTCAGAGTTTTATAAACACCACGTAAGCATTCTAGCACTGACTTACACCCCCAGCTCTCTCTATGAGATAAGGTCTCCTAAGTTGCCTGGCTGGCCTTGAACTTATTGGTTTCCTTGAGGTACTGGCCCGAAAGGACGCTCTTGTGTTTACACTGTGTGCCCACCTGGGAGTTTCTACACTGGAGGCACACTGCCACAGGAGTGTAGCCCCTCGTGCCCTTCTTCAGCTGCCAGTCTGAACTACAGCTGGCTGGAAACCCCATCAGGCCACCCCAAGCCAGCCGTGAATAGTGACCAACTAAGCTAGCCAGAAAGCAAACGCAGGGCTGACGGAACAGTGCCAATCCTGCCCTTGTCTAGTCTCAAAAGTCCACAAGTAGCTAAGATGATTTACCAGAAACTTGTCATGCCATGAGGAGGAATCCAATAATGAGGGGTCAGAAAATAAGCAGAATAGTGGGGTGAAACTAACACATTCTTTTTTTTATTTATTAAAGATTTCTGTCTCTTCCCCACCACCGCCTCCCCTTTCCCTCCCCCTCCCCAAACTAACACATTCTGATCTAAAACATCAGCCTGTTTTCCAGGTATAATGGCTTATACCTGTTATCCCAACACCCACAAAGCTGAGGTAAAAGAATCATCTCTGAGTTCAAGGCCAACCTGGGACACAAAGTTAGACCCTATTTCAAAGAAACCAAATCAAACAAACAGAACTAACTACAACAAACAAAACTCAGGTAATTATGACTAAGGCTTTCCCTCCCATCCAGGAGCCTGACTTTCCCTTGAGAACCCCTCACCCCGCCACTACAGTGCTTTCAGGAATGACCCCCAGAGCCTCAGTTACCTGTCCACTGTCCTCGGACGCAGGAGATAAACTGAAGCCCACAGAGAATCAGAGCGTGGACTGAAGACAGAGCTATGTACATCTAGGAGGAGGGAGATGGGTTAGCTGTTTTAACAACTGGTCATCCTATAAGCAGAGGCTAGCGCTCTCTCTCTCTCTCTCTCTCTCTCTCTCTCTCTCTCTCTCTCTCTCTAACACACACGCACGCACACATGCACGCACACATGCACGCACACACACACACCCCGATGGGGGAAAGGTGGCATGGAAGAGCGAATTATAGTTGCTAGAAGCTGATCCAAGACCACAGTGGATCAAGCCCAACAGCTGCATGGCAAAGTAAGCAGGAGAAATGAGTTCTATGTGTGAAGGCCCAGTGTATGACAATGGTAACTGAGAGGGACAGACAAATCCATAGCCAGCAGGTGATGTAAAAGTAGCACACAGTCACCGCTGGACTGTACTCTGCATGGGCCAACACAGTCATCAGCTCTGGGGAGGTGGGGAGCCAGGCTAAATACCCCTCCCCCAACTCTAGCAGGTTCAATTTCAGAACATCCAGTCCAATCCCATATCCATAAAACGTCTGCACTCACAGTGAAGAGCACGAAGAATCTCTGGTTCTTTTCTCCCACGCAGTTGTTCACCCACGGGCAGTGGTGGTCCATCTTCCGGATGCACCTCTTGCAGATGCTGCGAAGGAGAGTGCACTGCTCAGTGCCTTGTGTGCTGAGGAAACCAGTGACAGCAGATAGACTCCAAGGAGGGAGAAGCTGGGGACACCTGTGACAAGTCTCAAACTGGCTGGCCTCGCACTCATGACTATTCCCCTGCTTAAGCCTCCCAAGTGCTAGGATTACAAGGGTGGGTTGTGCCTTTTCCTACACTGTCCCACATGCAAGAGGGCTTTGCTGCCAGTTGAGCTTTTGAAACAGCCTACATCACTGACTGCATCCTGTGAGCACTGTGACAGCAATAGTCGGCTCCCTGGTCTCTGTAACTATGCCACTCTGTTAGATGCAGTTTCTTTGCATGTCCCCCAGTGCACATGCCAATCTTAACAGCTTCCAAAACATTCCCAGATCATCTCCAATGGACTGGAGGAGGAAGTTCCCTGCCATGGAAGTTCACCCACTTTAAATGCACAATGGAGTGACTCCTGCACGTGCAGAACTGTGAGGTGTCCGCCCCAAAAAGGAACTCACGCTCATAGCCAGTCCCCCCAGCCCAAGGCCACTACCCTCTCTGCCGTGGCACATTTGTTGGCTTCCTGGCCTAGCTGGGAAGATATACCTCTTCCCATACTTTCTCCACAACCAACAGGGACAAAGCCCTCTTGTGTTGCTTTTCTCACTGCAGACCACTGATGACCCTGCTCATCTTTATTTGTTCCCCCTGGGAAATCCCAGCCCATTAGAAGAAGACACTCGAATGGGAGATTACACTCCACCTTTGTGCACACACAGGGACTCAGTCCAAAGACAGGCAGAGAAGTCTAACAGATTTCCAGGAATAGAGAAGTAGCCCAAGTTCATCCTGCACACCAGATATCAGCACCCTCAAGGAACTGCAGCCTGTCTAAAACCAAGTCCTGGCACAGCAGGACAAATGACAGATTGCAGAAAAGGCCAGCAGACGGAGCCCAAGAAAGGCTGATGCTCAAATGCACGTCTGCAGGCTGGACTGTTGTCAGACAGTATGTCTACAGGAGCCTGCATCTAGTCTGCCACGCATGAAGGGCAGCAACCATACAGAGGCCTGTTTTTCCAGCTACAAAATTTACGTGCCAGCCATGGCAACCAGGCCAGGAAACACGCAGACACCATGTCATCCTCCGGCTGTTGTGCACTCGTCTCCTGCAGCAGGGAAGGGACCTGAAGTCTGCACCATCTGCAAACTCCCACAGGACTCCAGATGCTGCCTGGGTGCTGGACCCGGGCTGAGCTCAGCTGAGAGCACAGGCTATACCTGCAGTGGTGGGCACGCTCCGGCTTGATGCAGCAGCACTTGGGGCACTTGTAGATCACCTCGCCAGGCTTCAGCTGCAAGCTCTCCATGTACTCCTTTGTGGCATTGCCCTTGGGGACAGCGCCCTGTACACACAGATTGAATTCAGGTTGGGTGAAAAGAAGACAGAACAATGAAACAAGGCTCACACCCATAATCCTAGCCCTTGAGAGGCAGAGGCAGGAGGATTGCCACTAGTCTAAGGCCAGTCTAATTGACACAGTGAGTTCCAGGCCAGCTAGGGCCTCGCAGGGCTACCTTCTCTTAACCATTCTGGCTCCCTCCCCTACAAAAACATCAGTAAAACATGCCCATAATCCCAGCACTGAGGAGGGAGATACAGGATGGCTGAGTTTGAACCCAGCCTGGGCTGTATAGTAGGACCCTGTTTTAGGAAAACAAAGGCTTCTGAAGCCCCAGGTGTACTGACTTTAAGGAAGTGAGCTAGTATGGCCAGAGGCCCACAAGCACAGCAGGCCATGGCAGTCTACGACACAGCTCTGTTTCCATGGATAGGCTAGCCGAGGCCACTGTGATTCAGACAGGAGAGAAAGCAAAGGGTATGCTGTGGATCTCAACATGGCAGGGAGGCAGCCTTGTCTCCACCTTAGACGGCAATGTAAGCTTACAACAGTGGGTCTCAATCTTCCTAATGCTGCAAACTAATGTCCCTCATGTTGTGGTGACCCCTAACCTTAATACTTCCTTTCATTTCATAACTGTAATTTTGTTATTGTTATGACACAGTTAGTGCTGGAAAGAAGCTGAGAACTCTATCAGAAGGAACACGCATGGCTCATACACCTGCAGTGCGGTGGCTGCCTGTGGGGACTGCTCCCACATGGCCTTCCGATTGCCCTTGCCAGAAGGAAGTCCCAGCCATCTCCTCTGGGTCTGGGGTGACCACAAAAAGGGTGTGTCAAAGTTCTGAGAGGCAGCTGTCCTTGCCCTGGAAGCTCTGAACTGAGCCTTCATGGCATCAGGAACTGAGGAACTGAAGTACAGGACGGCCTCCACTCGGAAGCCAACACACTCTTCATGTTTGCTGTCTATCTGTGTCAATGCTGTGAGCTGCTCCTTGACAGCATCAAGACAGAATCCTTGGATGCTCCAAGCCTGAGACGCTGTGTACTCACCGGGTCAGTGAGCATGGTCCTTAGGTGGGACGACAGTGCGAGCACCGCCAAGCAGTTGAAGATGACGCCATTCACCACAGAGTACCAGAAGTCTTTGGAAGGCAGCAGCATGACGAAAGTCACCACGAAGTCTGCATAGACGACGAGAAGCCATGTCATAACAGCACAGACCATGCCACAGCCATCACGGATGAACCACACCCTGTCTGCCATGTCAGCCTCGGAGGACGAGGAGGACGCAGAATCATAATTGTCATTGTCGGTCAGGAGAGGATGATGCTCGATGTCCCGGAGCCTGTGTCCTGATGGCTGCATGATTCCCTGACACACCCTGTAGAGGGGGTGAGAGCTGGTGAGGCTCCTGGGCAAATACACGCACACACTTACATACTTAAACATGATGAGCAACATGTGCAAAGTCAGCTCGAATAGGCGGAGCAGAAAAGAGCCCAAGTACCAAACTAGCTGAGGGCTTGATCTCTGCCTTTTTCACCTCATGTCCTGCTGTGTGAGACCCAAGGGGTCTCAGTGTGGGGTTTGCCTGCGCACACAAACTGTCACCACCACAGAGATACGAAAGGCACCAGCTGTACAGAATCACAGCATCCAGCACAGCATAGAGGAGCCCGTTGGACACCACTGTCCCCAATGACCTGACCTGTCTGTGCTCTAGACAGGGTTTTCACCTCCTCAACACAGATGTCACCAAGGCATAGGGAAAGAAGCACAGGCAAAGGATGTTCCGTCCTCCCCTTCCTAGAGGCTCACCAGGCTGAGTTTGCACTTCCTTCACCGCTTCAGCGTCCTCCTCCCCAGGTTACAGCAGAAGGTGTGCACAGCTTTTGTGGACAGCTCCTGTTCTTTCCTCTCGGTTCCTCATCACATGCAGCTTCTAGCATATGATTTTAACCTTCCTAAGGTCCCCTCTGTTTATGACTCCATTCTTTCTTTCCAGACTTGTCCCGTACTTCCCGTGGCCTCCTACTGCCAAGAGCAGATAGGTCAGAGCAGCTAAAGAATTGGACTCTTAGCAGGAACTGCTCTGCCTGCGGTGCCTGCCCTGCCCGTCCTCCTCTTATCATGTTTGCTAAGGGTGGAAACACTCGTGACAAGCACAGTGAGGGGAGGGAGAGTCCGACTGTGTCCTGGCCTTGGTACATGGAAGGGAAATGCTGGTGGGCATCAAGGTGAACCTGCCCCCTCCAGAGCAGCACTGAGGTGGGCAAAAGGGGGGTGGTGCTCTTGAGGCTCCACCAACCAGCAGCATGGCTTTTCAAGTCTGGACATATATTTTTTTCTTAATTATAAGTGGAACACACTTGCCAATGGGTGTCCCCATTTGCAGAGTACATAACTTCGACACGCAGCACAGACCAGGGCAAGAAGAGACCCCGTTGTTTCCAAAGCTAGAGAAGAAGGAGAGCAAAAGAGTTTCATGGGGACATCTACGCGGGCCAGAGCTGCCCTCCTCAAGCCCACATGCAGCTTTCCTGGGCAGGCTCCTATGAGCCACACAGGACCTTGCTTCTCTCACCTATAAACACCCTGCATAGCTCCTCCTTCCTGGACCCTGTACCTAGGGTCTCGGAGCCTCAGGCACCACCGGCTGAGCCTGGTTCGGAGAGACCAACAAGAAGCTGGGTGGCTCTACCTCATCTGAACTCTCAGGATGCCCACCAGCCAGCTTCCACCCACCTACCTCCTGCTACCTGCCCAACATCAGCACGCGGAGACAGAGGACACCTGCACACAGCAAGAGCTGTGCTCGAAGGAAGATGTGACAGGAAAGGCCCCTCGCAGATCCAACACTCTCCAGTGAGTGCCACTGTCTCTCCACCCCACCCCTGCCGCCTTTCAAGACATGATTTCACTAACATCCCTGGCTGGCCTGGAACTGGCCACAGAGACTTGACTTGCCTCAGTCCCACAGAAATATAAGCCTGCCTCTGCCTCCAAGTGCTGGGATCGAAGGTAGTGTACCACCATACCCAGCTAATTTCCAATTCTGTCAACAAACTGTAACTGGGCCAGGAACATCAAGGCTTCCAGCTGAAGGATTCTACAGGCTAGGACCCCTTTGTTTTCTGGTTTCCTCTGCAAGACATGCTCTGTAGGGTACAGCCTGGCTAACACAGAGAGACAAGAGGTTCTTGGGTCAGAATTCCATGTTTACAGTCTGAGCTCTTCCTGGACGGCAGGGTGCTGCAAGTCACACAGGGGCACAGCCACTACTGAGTGGTACCAGCACTGCTGTGCTTCCTGGCTTAGGTCCCATGAGAGCCTCCAGGGCATTCAGTGCTCTGCTCTTCCTGGGGTACAGGTGGCAGGGATATCCATATAAGAATGACACCCCCAGAGGGCTGTGATAGAACATCAGGCTGGCGGTGTATAACATGAGTTGCATACCTGCAAAATCCATGGGTGTCAAAGAAGGAAAACAGCCCACTCTAGGCATCACTTCATTTCCTCTTTCCTTTCCTTTTCTTTCCTTTCCTTTCCTTTCCTTTCCTTTCCTTTCCTTTCCTTTCCTTTTCTTTCCTTTCCTTTCCTTTCCTTTCCTTTCCTTTCCTTTCCTTTCCTTTCCTTTCCTTTCCTTTCCTTTCCTTTCCTTTCCTTTTCTTTTCTTTTCTTTTCTCTTTGATACAAGGTTTCATGCAGCCCAGGTTGTCCTGGAACTCCTGACCCTCCAGCCTCTACCCACCAAATGCTGGGATGACAAGCATGTGCTGCCATGCTTGGACAAATCTGAAAGAATGCGGTCACCGAACACAGCAGGACCGCAGCTGTCTGTGAGTGTGCTCCACCCAAGTCACGTGTCCACTGTGTCAGTGCCATGGGAGAGGATGTCTGTGAGTGTGCTCTACCCAAGTCATTGCGTCCACTGCAGCAGTCTGAGTGTGCCCACAGCTGTGAGTGTGCCCCACCCAAGTCACCTCGTCCACTGCAGCTGTCTGTGAGTGTGCCCCACCCAAGTCACCTCGTCCACTGCAGCTGTCTGTGAGTGTACCCCACCCAAGTCACCGTGTCCACTGCAGCAGTGCCATGGGAAAGGAGGAAGGACATGAGGAAACCACTCCAGACACAGAACAAGGCTAGCACCGAGAAATGGGATGTGGGGCCACATGACCCACCAAGAGCCATGCCCCAACAACAAACACTACAGTCTGCTGGTGCCACACTCAGATTCTTGGAAGAACCCTGACAACACTGGTGTCAGTGAGGTGACAGGAAAAGCACCATCTTCCATCTCTACCAAGCTAATGGGGTTTATCTGCCCCTGAGCCAATCATCTTCCATCTCCACCAAGCTAATGGGGTTTATCTGCCCCTGAGCCTATTCCCCACAAAGAGTAAAGCTCTTTGTCCCTGCTATGAGTAAAACACTGACTCCTGGACACTACCATTAATATCCCAGATCTCCATTAGTCCTGGGGATAGCCACGCCGGTGGCTCTTCCTCTTGTCTTGTGGTTCAGGTCAAAGGCAGACAGGTGGAAAGGAAGGCCTCAGCCTGCAGCTGCCTCTGGGCTTGACCACAGGCACATCCTTACCTGTCCCACAATCAATCTGTAGCTGCATCAGCTAGGGAGAGACACTGTACTCTTAAGAGTCATAACGAACTGGACTGGTGGCTTGTGTCATAATCTCAGCACTCAGGAGGCTGTGACAAGAGGATGGTAAGTCTGAAGTCAGTCTTAGCTAGAGTGAGACCTGTCACACACATACCAGCTGCAGACTCACCTTACAAATTGCTTCTAAGCATCATGGGAACACTTGTGCCTTTTTTTCAGTACTGTAAGGCGCATGCTGTCCTGTGTGATGTGGCCTGCAAGACAATAAACTCAATGACAGGTTACTTGCTTTATGACAGAGCAGGGCACAGCACAGTCTGTGAACCCGAGATGTCATACACACAGCCTACAGCAGCACTGAGGCTCTGCACTTGGGATTGTCCAAAATCATGAAATCACTGGGCTTCTGACTTCTAATCATTAGCAAATTAACCATGGAAACAAAATTATTGATTTTATTATTTATGTTTTTGAGATAAGGTATTATAAGTTGTCCAGGCTGCCCTCTAATTCATGGGCTCAAGCCTTTAAGCCACAGGACCCAGCAGTTAAGACTAGGGCACACACTACAGCCAACAATAACTTACTTTAGTCTCTTTTACCCTCCTCATGTTAGATACAAATCCAGATGCCTAAATCCTTCAAGAAAGCTCCAGGAGCCAGGTATGGTTGGTTACCTTCTAGCTGAAGCAAGGAACATGGGTACATGGATTTACCAAAGCAAGATTCACTAAGTAGCCCACTGTGGTGGCACACAGCTATAACCCCAGCACTCAGGACTGCCTCAAGTCTGAGGTCAGCCTGGGCTACGTTGTGAGACTATGCTTTAACAATTCACTAAGTTGTTTTAAACAGATGAAGGATACACTTTAAAAACATGTTTCCCTATGCATCTGTGAGGCTTCAATGAGAACAGGAGCAGGGGTAAAATGCCAGCCCAGGAACTGGGGCAGAGCTGGAGGAAAAAGTTTCGGTAGACGCCACATCCTGATCAGTGCATTTGTGAGCCAAGGCTACCTTCCATTTACTCTGGTCTGTGGCTGCAGGCTCTGTGGTCATGTGGACATAAGCAGAAGGAACTCAAGAATTAGTATCTGTCCATGTTCGATTTCTCTAAGAATCAGGAATGTGGCACCTAACACTGTTATGCCCTGAGTGCCTGCCTGGGACCCTGATTTCACACTGAGTTGATGACTGAGAAAGTTCCTGGCTGCCATGGTCACATACCACCAGTGCCCTACATAAAGACACAGAAAGCAGACTTCTTCAGCAGACAGAGACACTTCATCACCTGGGGCTGGGCACCCAAGAGCCAGGCATTTAAAAACAACAACAAAAACCAAATCAAGACCAGAGCTTCATCCACAGGGTTCCCATACTTGCAAGGTGGGGCAGAGCCTCCCAAACAATGTATTGAAAGCTTCCAAAGCGAGTAGACAGTGACACTTCCTTCTGGCTGGGAACCAGGGTGAGGAGCAAGAAAGATGACTGGCCACACGCAACCCCCCAAGCACCCTCAGCGTGGCAAATGAGCAGCCTGTGTGACTGGCACAGAGGCTGTGAAAAGTGCTTCTAAGCACTGGTCACTGTAGTGCACAGGCCTGAGATAAATCCATTATTTTCTCCTCCAATTACTAAGTCTAAAAAACTACTAACCTTGAAGAAAATGCAGACACACCCAACAAAAGCCAAGTATCAACACACTGGCAAGGTCTGTTTACTGCAAGTAAACAGCCTCATTTAACCTTTCTAGAAGTGTCTTTTAAAATACTTAGTCACACTGAGACACCTCTGGGAACACTGCAGGTCACAAAGGTTGCAAGTGGAGAGCACAGACACGGAAGCAGGGGGCAGTAGGAGGATGGAAGGCACCCCTGGGCTTTCCCCTCGGCAGCCACACCTGCCCACAGGTCTCCAACTGGGGAGCACCCAAGACAGGGCTTGACTTCTGTTTTTAATTTTTATTTATTTTCTTTACGTTTTGGTTTTTAAAGGCAGTGTTTCTCTGTGTAACAGCCCTTACTGTCTTAGAACTTGCTTTGTAGACCAGGCTGGCCTCTAACTCACAAAGATCCGCCTGCCTCTGCCTCCGGAGTGCTGGGATTAAAGACATGCACCACTACTGCCTAGCTAGGGTCCTGACTTCTTTACTTCCACGCTCTCTGAGGTGATGTCTTGGGGAATCACAGGCGCAGGGAGTTGGAAAGAGGAACTGAATCTAGAAAATACCCATATTGGAGACATCATTGCCTAATCAACTGACTACTAGCACATTCTCCTGCAGGAGGGTGGGAGCAGAACCTCCACTGTTAAAAGCTCACCCCTTTCCATTTCAATACACAACACTACACCATCTAGACACCAAGGTCAAATGCTAAGAACTCACCTTCACTGGCCTCTTCCTCTAGTCCCCATATCTAAGCCATGAGCAAGTGCTGGGGTCTTGACCCCCAGAACCACCCCCAACCTGGCCACATCTCCACCTCCCCTGCCCATCTAGATCCTGGCACTGTGCACTCAGCTCGTCTCCAACCAGTTCCCTTGTAGACTCAGTGCCTCTATTTACCTGACTGGCATGCCCACTTGCATTCAGCGCAACCCTTCGCGGACTGGGCCAGGTCGGTTTTGTACTCTCCTGTGCACACACCCTCCACAGGCTGCAGTCACAGTCACCCAGAGTGGGCACACATCCCCTCTGGCTGGCTTCTCGCTTGCTGCTTGTTTCCCACATCCTCACCAGGGTGGCTCTTGAGCATAATCTCTATACTGCCCAACACTGGGTGAGTGAAATGAAAAAGCAAGGTGTACACTGCATGTTGTTGGATTGGTGGGGAGATGGGGACAGGGAGGATGCTTGAGGCTGGGAGAAAAAGTGGGGCAGGGAGGGTGCTCGAGGCAGACAGTGTTGATGCAGCTCACTAAACACAGAGCGCTGCTGCTAAATAAGGAGCCAAGTCTTAGAGATGAGTGATTCGAATACACCCTGTGAATATGGGGACGGGGCTACTCTGCCTCCACTGTGTTCTTCTGCTGGCGTATACTCCCTCCAGAGCCCAGGGTTGAGAAAGAGCACTCTAAGGAACAGCAGAAATCTGAAAATTCAAAACATCTCAATGACACTTAGAAAGTTTGTCTCCAAGGAGACTGACACTTCTCTAGCTGGTGGCCCCTCCCTGCTGTGCTCTAAGCATCAAGCCTGGCTTCTTCAAACAGCCAAGATTTCCTCAGAGGCGTTCAACGTGCATGCATAATGAATCTGCTCTCCTATATGCCAGAGGACACGACTACTTATGGCTCTGGTCCATGTCTGTCATTACCCCTCCATGATGTACGTGAAGATAGTCCTCATCCTATGGAACTCAAGCCTCTGGGCATCTCTGCATTAGTTGGCTAGTTAGGAGGTTCAAAGGCCTTTGAGGACAGACCCACCCTTCACAATCAGCAGCTTGGAAAACCAGGAGCTGAAGCCGCAGGACTTGGATCTGGTAGAATGGAATCTGAGTTGTTATCACTGGCCCTGGGTGGAGACAGGACTTTCTGAACTGCCAGAAAGATCCTAGGATTTCTCCCTAGCTTCTTGGTAATGATAGAAGATGAACCTTGCCTGTCCCTTAAGGATTAATCCACTGGCCTGTCAATCACCTGCACAGGAAGGCACCTCTCAGGAAAGCTGTCTGTCCCAGAGACTTCAGGAGCATAGCATGAAGCCTGCCTATGTGGGGCAGTATGACCAGCTCTCTGGTCATTGTCACACTGCATTTCCCTCCATAATGACACTATAATATGTCTCATCTGAATTCTTTCCCCAGAGATGACAAGGAGACCAGAGCAAGATCTCAATTATAACTCAAAATCTCAGTTCCATTCCCCAAATCCATCTGGTCCATATTCCTCCACGGCTGCTTTACTGAACTTTCCTCCAGACTTGTCAAGGCTCAGTCCTTCCACTTCTCCCACAAGTTACTCCTCTGGGCTTCTGTTCCTTCCTCCAATTAAAATTCACATTCATTCTCTCTGCCTAGCACAAGTGTTCATTCACTGATTTCCATTCACCATCTTCAAGCCATGATTGAATACAGTATTTTTAAATGACCAGGTGCTGTGCCAATAAGACACAGTCTGGATGTCATTCAAGAAGCAGCAGAATTCTATGACACGTTTACAGGAATGGAGTTCAGCAGTAAGCAGGGCTCGGAGCAGCAAGACAAGTCTTTGCAGACAGCAGCAAAAACAGAGCACAGGGAACCAAGAAGCCAGACCAAGACCTGCTGTGTTGCTCAGGCTAGCTCAAACTCCTGGGCCCAGGCAATCCTGTCTCAGGCTCTGGAGCCAGGACAACAGCCACACTACCACACCCTACTCCAGAGACTTTTTTAGATAGAAGGGAGCTGGAATTGACAACTCTCCCACTGACCTTTGCCTCCTCCATGATTTAGAAGGGCAGCCATTAGTTATAAAGCAAAGAGCTACATTTTCAAGTAGGAAGAGTTAAACAAAAACCTAACAATGTGATGTCCTGTGAGGCTCTGGGTGTCACAGGGTCCATCCAACTGGAAGGAAGGCTGCCCACTGCTCCATTAACCAATCATACCTCTCATCAGAGGAGGCCTGGGTTAGCAATGTCATCCAGCAATATCAGGGAACTGGGGACCACAGAGGAGGGTAGATGCTGATATCTGAGACTTCCCTGGATTCCATTCTTTTCTCTTGGCTAACTTTAATTTGCAGCCTTTCCTATAATAAACCAACTGAGCATTATCCTTCCTATGAACCATGACCAAGTGGGTGGTTTTGGAAAACACTACCTCAACGTGCAGTGTGAAAAGCAGGGCTGTTCCCCTAAAATTTGTAACTCAGCAATATTAACAGTGGACTTAAACTCTCCTCAGCTGTTACTCCCACAGTAAGGTGTCAGTGTTCACCCTGCCCTGGAAATGAGTTTTGATTTTCTGAGTTCCGCTCTTGTGCTCTTTAGAAAGTGTGTACAGTCTGGAGAGATGGCTCAGTGGTAAGAGCACATGCTACTCTTGCAGAGGACTTGAGTTAAGTTCCTAGCACCCACCATTAGTCACTCACAACTGCCTGTAACTCCAGCTCCATGGTATCTGATGCTCTCTTCTGGCCTCTGCAGGCACCTGCATGCACACATGGGGCAGATACACACACGCACGCACATAAAATAAATTGTATTTTTAAAAATATGTCACTTTTATGATCAAAGCGTTACTTTTAAGAAATGTCCCTCAAAAGCTACCTTTAGAAAATTATCAAATGCCAGGCAGTAGTGGCGCACACCTTTAATCCCAGTGCTCGGGAGGCAGAGGCAGGTGGATCTCTGTGAGAGAGGCCAGCCTGGTTTACAGTGCAAGCGCCAGGACAGCCTGTCTCGGGAAAAACAAACAAACAAACAAACGAAAGAAAACCATCCCATGTCGTTGCCCAGTGGGGACTGAAGCTAGGCGTGCTGGAGTGGACAGCAAAACCACGTCCACTGGACCACAGACGTTACTTTAGTAGGGACTAACTTCTAGTCTCATTCCCTCGGGTTATTACTGTTATCATGTCGTTTTACATCACTGAAGTTCAAGCAAGCAAGTAATAATTTCATTAAGAATATAAAATCCCCGGGGCTGGAGAGATGGCTCAGTGGTTAAGAGCATTGTCTGCTCTTCCAAAGGTCCTGAGTTCAATTCCCGGCAACCACATGGTGGCTCACAACCATCTGGAATGAGGTCTGGTGCCCTCTTCTGGCCTGCAGACATACACACAGACAGAATATTGTATACATAATAAATAAATAAATATTAAAAAAAAAAAAGAATATAAAATCCCGTTCATACTTTTGACTAGTCAAAATCACTCTTAAAGCTTCACATAGACTTTTGGACCAAGGGCCATTCCCGTAACACTAATATTTTTCCATCGTGTTTTGTTTTGCTTGAGGTAGACCCAAACTTTTGATCCTCTCATCTCTGCCTCTAAGTCTTGGATGCTGGGGGCTACACATGCCTACTTTTCCATTCTTGGAAAGGGCTTGGCTTTAAGGCAGGTCAATTAGCAGGGCTACAGAGTTCTAATTTGAGTTTTTATTTTTGTTTTTCGAGAGAGGGTTTCTCTGTGTAGCCGTGGCTGTCCTAGAACTCGCTCGTACACCAGACTGGCCTCAGACTCATAGAGATTCACCTGCCTCTACCTCTCAAGTGCCAGGACTAAAGGTGAACGCCCACTATGTCCAGCTGAAGAGTTCTAATTTGACACCTGAGTCAATGGTTGGGAACAAATTCCGAGGGAAATTTCCTCTTCACTCACTGTTGTCCTCTCCTGCTCTCAATTCAGAAGCCAGTGTACCCTACCAGTGACTCTACAAAGTACACAATCCAAGTTCCACACCTCCAGCCTGTCTATCTTGTGCAACGTTCAAAAAATGAAATTTTGTTCACACTCCCATTAGCCCATTTTGTAAAATACCCCAAGAGCCTTTCATGCCAACCCATTCTGCAGCAAGTGCAAGTTTAACAAGGTATCTTTTAAAAGCATAACTTTAGGTAAGTGACAGTTGTAAACAACATTGGAAATAACATTGTCCTGACGGGCAGCTGGGAAAGATGTAGGAAGGAATGGAGATGACCCGCTGTCTGAGCCAGTAAAATAAGCACAAATGCAGTCAACAAGAGGACTGCGAAGGAGACTGTAGCTTGAGTTTGGGCTGCGCTTGTAAGCCGCTATAGAGGCCTCAGCTGCGGCTTTCATTACTCCAGCTTAATTGCCACAATAAACTGGTTGTTCACGAGCTAATAAAATGCGCCTATTTAATAGCTAGAGGGGACTTAGTTCTAGAAGTGATGACAGCGCGGAAGAGTTGAACCTTGTTACTCTGAAAGCTAGCCTGCTTGTCCAAGATGCCCTTCCCGGGTAACTACTCCCTTAACACCATGGACAGGGGTTGGGGGCGGTGGAGGGGGGGACCGACAAAGAATGAGAGCCCCGTTAAAGGGGGGAGGGATAGGATTGGATAAGACAGACGTGCGACGAAGCATGCCTACGAAAACTTAAGAGCTCACTGACGGGTGTCAGCACTTTATGACAACCCTGACATTAGCCACAGAGAACACTGGGCTCCGGAGCGGGCTGTCGCGCCCAAGGTCAGGCGAAAGGCTGCGGGTGCAAACGGGGTCCGATTCTGCGGGATCGGCAGAAAAGGCAGGAGACCCCTAAGGGAATTGCGGCGAGGAGGCCGCGGGGAACACAGCCTGGGGTCGCGGTCCGGACCGCCTTACGCACTGCACTCACCCGAGGCCCGGGCGGGGTCGCCCAGTGCTGCGGCTCCTCGCGGCCGGTGGCTGCAGCGGCGCGGGCGGCGACGCATCATGCGACCGCGCTCATGGCCGGGCCGAGTGGACCCGGATCCGCTCGGTTCCGCTCGGCTCGGTCCGGCCGGGCCGGTATACCGGAGGCAGCAGCCCAGCAGAAGCGGGAGCCCAACGCCACGGCCTGGACAGCGGAATGGAACGACCCCGGAACTGGACACGGCGAGGTCAAGGCGCAGCTCCTGCGTACTTCCGGCTGCGACACCCGGGGCTTCCGGGAAAAGGTTCGCGAGGACACTGGCGGTTTCTTCCGCTACCGATCTTCCAAAAACCTAGCGGTTTTTGGAGCAGAGACAGCACTTACGGCAAGACTGCTGAACCAAGAGCCCCGAAAAAGGTGGCCCGGAAGAGAAAAGCCGGCGCCTACGGGCCGCCGCGAGGGCCACGCTGCGTTGCGATTCGTGCGACTTCACGTGAAAACGCTTCCCATGGCATCATAGATCTAGCAAGTGGAGACTCAGATCCTCTCTCAAGACTGGCCTGTGCCAGGTGGAGGATGGAGAACTACAGAGATGGAGGACGGACACACGGGAGTGTAAGCTGCTGACCCTGAGGGCGTTTGGGTGCCCGTGGAAGTGCCCTGGATTGGGGACGGTGCGCCTGGGTTCGGGCCTGCACAGCTCCACGCTCTGGTTGCTGGAGCACCGTTGCAACCCCTTCCTGATGACGGCCCTGAGATTTGCAGAGGTAGAAAGGTGTGTTTTATCCCCTTGGGTCCCCTGACAGACTTGGCACCATTTGTTACACAGTTTGTTCAGGGCAGAGAAGTGTTTGGTAGTTAAACTGGCGGGATGTGCTGTAAGATTGGAAAAGGCTATAATGAAAGCGCAGGGATCTAGCCCAACTTCGCGGAGTTTCCCGTCCCCGCGTCCAGAAATTGTCATTCGAGCCAGACTTTTGGAAGTAAGGGTGCATTAAGTTAACTTACCCAAAAGTACAGCGTTTAAAGCTAGGCGCACGTCTACATCCCAGCACTAGTAAGACTGGGGCAGGAGGATCCTGAGTTTGAGACCATTTTAGACTACATAGTAATGCCATCTTGAAAAAAAATGCATAGTTTCGTTAAGTTTTTATGGTTATATCTTTTTAAAATTTAACTTTATTTTTATGTCTATGGGTATTTTGCCTCCGTTTATATCCGTGCACCACATGCATTCAGTGCTTGAGGAGGCCAGAAGAGAGCATTAGAAACCCTAGAACTGGCGTTAACCGTTTGAATTGCCTTATGGGTGCTAGGAAATCAAACCCGGATCTTCTGGAAGAGCACAGCCAGTGCTCTTAACAGACTAGCTGGTTTCTCCAGCCCCCTTTATGGTTTTATCTTGTACATCTGTATATTCAAGATGGTACCCATCTTTCAGTCAACTCTTGCTCGGCCTGCCCTGTGTAGCAATTTCCTCAGTGGGGATCATTTGCTCTTAGAGGGAAAGGAAGATTCAGGAAACTCTCAAGACCTAGGAAGCCCCCCAGATCATATAGGCAGTACACTGTTGCTGGCCAGAGGAGACTTTCTGGAGCCTTGCAGGCTGTGTCAGAGGCTCCAGTGAGGCAGCCTTCCACCGTGTTTTCTCATGTTAGGGTGAACTTTTCAGTATAGGTGCCGCCTCAGTCACCCGTACCCCTGTAAGTAACCCATAACGCATGAACTCATCGGTTCACTGAAATGGACTTGAATAGAACTGAATAGAAAGACAGGGACATTAAGAGACATGGGAAAGGAAAGAAACCCCCCGCCCTGGGATCTAATGACCTTTCCTGTTGACTGAGAGTCAAGAAACATCAGCGTGATTGATAAAGCCAACACTGCCTACAGAGATGGTGTGCTTTCCTCCAGACAACGCAGACAGGATGTGAAAAACAGGAAATAAACTGCACACTCATGGCTGGGTTGTTTGTGACTGTGACCTTAAATATCCAGCCTAGATGAATAACAAAAGCTTGAGCACACTTGCACGCACACATACACACGCACACATGCACCTACACGCACATGAGATTAAAATATAATTAACCTTGGAGCTGGCTGGAGAGATGGCTTAGTGTTAATAGCACGGGCTGCTTTTGCAGAAGACCTCATATGACAGCTCACAAACCGTCTGTACTCCCAATTCCAGGGAGTTTGACACCGCCTTCTGACCTTTGAGGGCACATGGTACACACACACACACACATATGCATCCAAAACACTCATATACATAAAAATAAATGTTTAAAAAGTTACCAATTCATATATTTTACTTAACATTTACGGTGTTTGTCTATGTTTTTTGAGGTAGGATCTCACGTAGCGCAGGCTAACCTCAAACTTCCCGTGAAGCCTTGGGTTCCCTCCCCAGCACTGTAGAAGCCCGGGTATGGTAGTGGTCATGATGGTCACGTCTGTAATTCCTTCACTTGGAAAGTGAAGGTAAGAGGAGCTGAAGTTCCAGGTCATCTCAACCCTTTACTAAATTTTAACCTTTTCTTAATCTTGAAATTTTGTAAACTATATCTTTTGAGGAACATAACTTAAAAGACTGAAGGTTCATAAGTGTGGCCATTGTGGAGACACCTAAGCATGATTTTCTGGAGAAGCCCACACACCTGTCCTGAGATTGTGTACTATGCTTCTCTTCTGTGACTGTCTCAATACTTAATAAACTCACTAACTTGGCTTCTGTTTGGCTCATCCTGAAATTCTTTCCCACAGCCAAGTCTAGGATCCTTGCGTTGAAAGCCCCAAACAGGAAGGGAACCTGGGGCTGCTGGTGGCTGTTGGATTGTGTCCCCCCACAGCCACCGACAGAGTCATTTCTTTGGTCTGGGGTTGGTACACTATCTAGGTGAACAGATGCTTGTTCATGTCTGGCCAGGAAAAGTCATGCAGTGGCTCAGAGGCGAATCTAGAAGGCAGACGGGCAGTGTGCAGTGGCTCAGAGATGAATCTAAAAGACAGGCAGGCAGTGTGCAGTGGCTCAGAGGTGAATCTAGAAGGCAGACACGTGTAGGTCATCAGGAATGCCAAGATGGTCTGCTTAATAAACAGAAAATGGCTTTCAGGGGAGGGAGAAGTCAGCTAAACTTGTACATTATAGATCCATCTTTCTGTCTGATGTCCGTGGCCAAGAAACATTGGCAGCCAGTAATGTGGCTCCCTAACATAATCCCAGCGCTTAGGATACAGAACAAAACCCTATCTAAGAAGAGCCACAGAATATGTAAGAAATGATAAGAATCATTGCACTAACAGTCTTTAGTTACAGAGAACTTAAAGACAGGACTTCACAGAACCAGGGACCCAGTAAGGAATGCCAGACAGGCCTACTGCTTTCCTAAGATACCTCAGAGAAATCAGAACATGTCACCCCAAAATACACCTCTAACTCCAAGTGAGCCAAAAGTTATGGGAAAGCTTTCTCTGCCTCCCCAGCTCTGACTGGAGACTTCAGCCTCCTTCACCCAGGAGAGGGCAAAGGAGCATCCTGTGAAGTGCTGAGAATATAATTGACCTGCTCGATCCACTGCCGCGACCCTAAACCTGCTTCATCCTGCTCTTCGCAGATGTATTCTTGGTTGACAGTGTCAGAGGGGCTGGATTTGAAGCCTTTCCTGGGCTTCCTCCATGTGTCCAGTGAAGTGTATGGAGGTAAATGCCTGCCTGTTTTTCTCCTGGCAGTCTGTCTTTGTTCCAGGGCTCCAGCCCAGAGTTTAGGAGGAAGAAGGAAAGGGCGTTTTCCTCCCCCGTGTGCCCACCCTTTGGACCCATTACCAAGTCTTTCACAAGAAAAGGGAGAGTGACAGGCCCCTCCTCTTGGTCCTGTGAGCCACTCTGAAAGCCAGGAACCTCTGAAGTAAAAAACAATGTCCTCTTAGAAATGCCGGCAGGAAAGAGATGCAGTTTCTGGGGCAGGTTCCATCAGCAAATGTTCTTCGAATCTGAACTAAGCTTTTTGTTTATTTATTCTTTTTTGAGACAAGGTTTCTCTGGGTAGCCCTGGCTGTCCAGGAACTCTCTCTGTAGACCACATTGGCTTCAGACTCTGCTTTTAGAGTGCTGGGATTAAAGGTATGCACCATTACCGCAGGTCAGGTTTGTTGTCCACACCCTCACCAGCATCTATTTGTTGTCTTCATTATTGCCATCTGGCTGGGGTGATGGACTCCCACTGCACTGGGCTTGAGTTTCTCAGATGGCTAATGAGGTTGGACATTTTCTTCATGTGCTTACTGGCATTAAAAAACCCCTTTAAGTGTTTTTAGCCCATGACTACATAGTGGTTTTTACTGGGAGGGGCACGTGGGAGATGGAACCGAGGGGTTTACCCATGCTGGGCATGAGCTCTACCAAGCCCGTTAAAAATATATATATTTGCATATCTTTGTGTAGCTCAGAGAACAGCTTGTGAGAGTTGGTCCTCTCCATCCACCATGTGGAACCCAGAGCTTGAACTCGGGTCATCGGGCTTGGCAGGAGGCACCTTCACCTTTGAGCCATCTCACCAGTCCGGAGCCTATTTTTAAATGAATCGTTGGAAATATAAGAAACCCAACAAAACAACTGGCAAAACACTTGAATAGGTTATTTCAGAAGAGACACTCCAAAACACACTGTTTCTCATTTGCATTAGTCAAACTCAGGCCACAGTGAAGTACTGGTCATGATCCCCCCAAAAGGGCTGCAATGAGAAACGGATTCAAGATTCCCCACACTCTTTGCTGCCGGGACAAGACAGGACTTGATAAACGTCAGCGTATGCTCGCCTACAGTACTGCCCCGAAGAGCCTCACACTTGACAGAACCTACATGTTCCTGACGTACAGGGAAGATAAATGTGTACAGTAGAAATAGTCTGAAGTAATGAGAAGGAAAGCACACACGGGCGGCAGCGTAAGTCACAGAACACGGTGTTACATAGAGGCGAAGCACCAAGAATGCTCATTGCATTCCTGTCAAAAACACACAAAAGTAGCCTCCGCCAAGCCAGGGCTGCTGTGCTCCACTCTCGGGGAGGTACAGGAAGCAGTGATAATCTGCCTTGTGGCCTGGGCTTGCAGCAGGGTATTCTCTTGACGAGAACCCATCTCGCCATTAAGATTTGTATCCTCCTTAAGCAAATGCTGGAGAGGCAGAGCCCCTAAGGCAGCACCCTGGGGAAGCAGAGA